CCAAACAGAAATCGCTATTCACCACATCCTATGGGTGTACTGCATGGGCTGGGTGTAGCAATATGGCCTCTGCCCGCGGAAGTGCGTCACCGCGTAACCGGAAATGGCGTACCGAAGCATTGCGTCACGTGCCTCATCAGGGTTAAACTTAGTACGCCATTTCGGTTACGCGGTGACGCACTTCCGGGCGCAGAGACCATATTGCACACCCAGCCCATGCAGGGCCAAAGTAATTATCTGGACAAGGCAATTAAATCTCTTTTGTTTACTATGTCCACTTCGAAGTACCCTCACTTTAGATATGCAATGGGGATGGCCATCTGTCCAGCAATGCACAAGTTTCCCAGGCTATGACCTTACATAACTAATGTTCCCTCCAAACAAAGGTCATGACCTGGCCTACACAATTTTCCCACTAAAATGGGAGGTGCTGGTAAGAGACTGAGTTATGATAAATATAGGTGATGGGGAAATTGTCCAATCCTGGATGAGATGCTCCAGATATACTAGATGGATTAGATAGTTCCACCAATCAGAATGGCCCCATGTAAGTCTATGAGTGATAGGTCTATATCAGGTTAGGTTTTGGGGGAAGAAAGGGATAGAAGATCCTATGATCCCATGCTACACCAGTGGTAAATGTCAGGACATCTCTCTGGCACTTACATGTATACATGCTTGTCTTATGTGTTGGCTGTCTTGCTGTTTGTGGATTCAGGGTATAAGTATTATATTCTATAATTCCTTTATTTAATCTTTTATGTTTTCTTATTGTTGTAAAATAGACAGATTACTGTGTGTTTGTTTAGACATCTCTACTATTCACCAATAAATTTTGATTATTGTGTTCAAACTCACTCTTGGTCAAAGAACATTCATTAATGTTAACCAAATCATAGTCAAGAGAGATTAAATCTCAAAAATATAAAGTGTGGCTAACTATTAAAAAGTAAAGTGTAAATGAAAGGGTTAAATTCACTTGCACATCATTGGGAATCCCAAATGAATAAAGCTCCACTTTATTCATTAATCCAATTAAATACTCTCTGCCAACTGAACACTATTAAATCAATCCCTACGAGTATCGCAGAACATATTTCTTGCCTCTATGTATTTCTAACACCGCTTTTAGGCAGGCAGTAAGCATTCTTTAAAGCTTCTGTTGATGTTATGATAAATGACTACAATTAACTTGTAGCAATACAGAAACTCTGTAGAGATCAATAGGCATATTTATTTAGTTATTTATATCCCAGTAGTGGTTATACGATTGTTTTTCCTAAAAAGATTAATATTTCTTGACCGAGTAGATCTCTTTATGTTTATTTCATTTCTTTTCTTTCTTTTTATGGTAAAGTGTATCTCTAGGAATTATTTTTAGTGCATAGTTACCTTGGTCAAGCTTGGACTAATGTAAGTACAGTATGTTTATCTTACAGCTGAGCTATTGCAGTGGAAGCTGACTGTCAGGAATGGACTCGCCAATGGTGGTGGGACTCACCTGCCTTGTGGGCTGCAGTACCAGGGCTGGCCAGCGGGTGCTCTTAGCAGCCAGAAGCTCACTCCTGCAATCAAGCCAACACCTGAGGCTGATTGCAGAAGGTGTATTTAAGGAATGGCCAGGCCTGCAGTCAGGGCCTTGGTGTATTGTTCTCATGAGCCCCTGTACCTGCATCCTGTCTGCTTCCTGCCTGATCCTGACTCTGCTTGATCCTGACTCTGCTTGAACTCTGCCTGCACCGACCTCGGCTACTCCTGACCAATCTTCTGCCTACTCCTTGTACCTTGTCTGCCCGTTATCTACCGACCCGGCCCGCCTGACTACGTTGTGCTCCATATTATATATATATATATCAGTTAAGGTTTGGGTTTGTTGCACCTTGTTGTACGTATTTGTGTTAGTTTTGGGTTTGGTTTGTTGCAATGCAATTATGTTTGTGTTGCCCTTAATAAATTATATTGTTTTACACGCTATACCTGAAGTCTGTGTTTCCCTGTGTCGGTCCACACATCTCTGGTCATACCTGGAGCCCTGACACTGACAATCAGTTGGCACTACTAGTGATAGCTACTACTAGTCCTGTGGCAAGAGGCTTCCCTTATGCATATAATGAATTCTTTGATTAGATGAGGTGGAACGAAAGAGTGGTGCAGTCACAATTTCCACCTCATCCAATAAGAGAATGCCTTGTATTCACTGAAAAAATATAAGGCATTTTGTGAATGGCCGAGCAATCAACCCCCTGTGGATACTATGCAAAAGCAAAGCCAGCCAGCACAGGAATCATAAAATCATTGCTATCACAGTAGTAGCCTCAACTATTACAGTGATTGTCAGCTTCCAGAGCAATCTCTCAGGTATGAAATATGCATAGTTACATTGATACAAACTTGACCAATGTAACTGTACAAAAAAAAAAATCATTAGTAGAATTCCTCTTTAATGCAAAAACAATGATACCCATATAATAAAAATAATATAATAACATTTTCAAATTTGGAGTGTAAATAGAGCACAGTGAAGCCCAATCTGGGGTGGAAAGAGTGTTGTGTCCATGTGAGAAACTGGAGTAAAAAATGTCAGTTTATACTATTGCCATAATTGCTGTTACTGAAGGAAAAAGTCTCCATCAGAGGATTCTCACAAATTCTCCTTGGGGAGGCCAGAATGAGTTTCTGTGCAGAGAGACACTGCATGGTGGCAGTTTTGCAAGTATGAACTACAGTTTACTTTGATATTTGCACACAAGGTCCATTTACACACCAAAAAGGAATAAGATGCTTTTCTGGTAATTGTTGTATGTCTTTCTGATTCAGGAATAGCAAATAAAACCGTCTGAATCCCATGTGAAGCTATCTACCCCAAGAGATGGGAACTGGGAAAAGGCTGCTGTCTTTACAGGGGCCATATGAGTTCAAGAATATCAGTATGCTAAGAACAGGGTGGTGTATTGTACAAAGGCTAATCTTACACATAGCTGGTACATTTGAACCTAAAATTGGAATGAAAGACGTATATACAGTATAAGGGGCCCATCTTTCCTATATTCTAGTTGATTGTGCAGTATGTGTAATCATACTGAATTAGCGAAAGCATACAGTGATATATACAATATGTGGGCACTATAATGGTTACGTAGCTCTACAGTATTATCAGAAGACATTTTATATACAGTATTACACTAATGAAAAAAAGAAGCAATAGCTTTAAAAATGAATAAACATACTTTTTCAGCTTGACTAACTATGTAACTAAATAAATAAAATTATATCAGAATTACTTTTTTAAATAAAAAGATTAAATTTACTGATCAAGTGGTCAGGGGGAGACATCAGACCCAGATCACCAAACAAAAATAGGATGCAGTGATTTAAAAATAAAAATACAGATAAATAGGTGTTACTGTTTTAGGAGGAACTGATACTAGTATACAACTTGACATAACAATTCCATGTTTAGTAAAGGTAGCTCAAGCGGTTTCTATGTTCATAAACATTTTCAGTTATGTAATGACTCAATCAGGGGCGGACTGACCATTTGGAAACTCGGGCACTGCCCGATGGCCCAGGGTCAGCAGGGGCCCCATGAGATGCCCCTGGTACCTTTTTCATAGGCTTTTTTGAGTTTGGGCATGGACACAGGGGCCCCATGATCCCCTATTGCCCGGGGGCCCCATGAGTTGTCAGTCCGCCCCTGGACTCAATTGAACTTTTAACTCTGCCATCAGCTCATCCCTCAGTTATTACCTTTTGTTCCACTTGCCCCACCGTATTAGATTGTAAGTTCTTATGAGCAGAGCCCTCTTAACCCTCTTTTAATTGTAATGTTACTGGACTGTCTCCCTGTCTCCCTTCAAAGTGTAAAGTGCTGTGCAAACTGTTGGCACTCTATACATCATGAATAATTATAATAATAATAAAAAAAATTAAATTTGTAGGTTGTAAATCAATGTGTAAGGCAAAATGATAATACAGAGTTTCAACATAATGTAACTATAAAGGCATTACAGATCTCATTAAGGACATTTTGCTGAAATGAGATTACATAACCAGAGAGCATCTGAAAAGTTTACACATACAGTTTTTATTATGGTTGATAAGAAGACTTAAACAATCCTGGAATAGTATATGGGGATATGCTAGGTTCTTTATATTATATATAATTGAAATGGTTCTGGGTGAAAATAATATCCTATATGAACATTTTCTAGAATGTAACCCTGCTGTTCATTTCCAGCATCTTTCAATTAAGTGCAGACTTTAAGAGGTTCATAACAGTGTATGTCAGGAATTTAGCCTTTCCTTTTTCCAGTATGGTAAGTGGAATGCACTCTGTCTTGACATTATTATTCTTGCTGTCTTGATAAAAGACATGTCACTGTAGCAACTAAATGAATAAACCCCCAGTAATGCTATTACTAGGCTGCAGCTAGAGGGCACACTAATGATTTGTTGTGTGACTTCAGAAGACTAAACCAACAAGCTCACATTAAACTTGGAATGCAAGTAAAAACAACACGTGTTTTTACTGTCTCCTCTTTAACCACTAGCCTACTGGGGTCTTATACCCCCTTCCTGCCCAGGCCAGTTTTCAGCACTGTCGCACTTTGATTGACAATTGCGCGGCCATGCAACACTGTACCCTTATGAAATTTGTATAATTTTTTTGTGACAGATAGAGCTTTCTTTTGGTGGTATTTAATTACCACTGGGTTTTATTTTTTGCTAAACAAATCAAAAACAACTGAAAATTTTGAAAAAAAAAAAGTTTTTTTTTCTTAGTTTTTGTTATAAAAGTTTCTAAATAAGTGATTTTTCTCCTTCACTGATGTGCGCTAATGAGGCTGCAGTGATGGGCACTGATAGGCTGCACTGATGGGCACTGATAGGTGGCACTGATGGGCATGATGATGAGGAGGCACTAGTAGGTGGCATTGATGGGCATTGACAGGCATCACTGAAAGGCAGCACTCATATATGGCACTGACAGGCAGCACTGATAGGTGGCACTGATAGGCATCACTGACTGGCACTGATAGGCAGCACTGACTGGCACTGATAGGTGGCAACTGATTGTCAGCACTGATAGGTGGCACTGTCTGGCACTGATAGTGTGATGGATTTGGTAAAATGCCTATTTGGTTTCCTATTGAATATATACATATATACATTTTTTATATACACATTTTTATACATATTTACTTTTATACTCTAATACTATTTCTTTCCACATATTTATAAATGTTTAGTATGAATACATATGTTGTGTGAACATGTTCTGCCTGCTGGGCTTTGTGGTACTTTAAGAAATCCTTGCTTAAGAAATGTTTGCTCCCATGCACCGACCCCCCCCCCTCCCATCGTGTGATTTCAAAGACAAAAGGAATGTTTTTCTTTCTGTAAGATAAGACTTGGAAGAAGATCACACCTATACCATGACGGAGATTGTTTTCGTGTAAAGTGACCAATCAAAGACTAATATAATGCTTATGCTGTTATTACGTGATGTTTGCATCATTTTTCATATATAAACTCACGGTTTCATTTCAATAAATTAGAGAGAAGTTTTCACAGACCAAACGTGTCAGTGTGAGTTTATGTGTGCACATTCCAGAGCAAACCAGCATCATAAATTAGGACAGGAACAGATAAGCAACGGACATTTTTTAATAGGTGGCACTGAAAGGCAGCTCAGATGGGCACCGATATGTGGCATTGATGTGCACTGGTAGGCACTGATGTGTGGCATTGATGTGGCACTGATGGGCACTGACAGGTGGCATTGATGGGCACTGACAGGTAGCACTGCTAGGGCTACACTGATCATCAGGGCACACTGATCATCAGTGCCATGGTGATCAGTGTACATGTCTCCTATGAGGAATGCCAATTACCGGCTCTCCTCTCGAGCTGTCAGCGTGACAGCTTGTGAGGCGAGAAATGCCGATAACTGGCATTTCCCTATTTATATGCGATCAGCTGTGATTGGACACAGCTGACCACATGACCAATCCGACATCTTCGGCTCTGTCCATTGATCGGTGATCTGCTGTGTCCAAAGGACCATACTAGTAGGTGTTTATAGAATGATTAGTTATTGCCTCCATCCTGACTTTACTAAACTGTTATTTAAGAGCTGGACTACAGTGTCCAAGCCTCCATTTCCAGACTAAGAATCTTTCAAGGGAAGCTCTTCAGAGAGGTTTCTGTTTACACACAAAGGGCAGTTGGGAATAGAAATTTCAGTGAAGACCATGTTTTAAATTATCTCTCTAGTCAGAAGTGACATTTTCAGTATCTGGTGAATTTAATTGATCATATAATTGATATCATGAGGAAAGTACCAAGAGAAGTGGGGTAAACCGAAGTTTACAGAGACTAAAAGCACCAGGGTGGGTAGAAACACAGCCAGGAGCTATAGCCAGGCGTCCTAACCACTAAAGTTTCCAAAATATATAAACAGTCAGCTGGTAATGAAGCCCACCTGACCCCACTTATTAGTAAAATATCACTTTGGGTGGACAGAAGAATTCCAGCGAGATATTAAGGTTATGCTCAAATTGTGTTGAATGTAGAATATACCTTTTACATTATAAAAGTGAATCCTATGCATTAAAAAAAGATTATAGTGATGAGAAAAAGATTGGAGCTCATGCATTTAAATCACAGAAAAAAAAGTGAGCATAGAATTGGATTTTTTGTTAGGGATGAGTTGCAGGTTTCCTGCTACCATCGACAGTCTGAAATTTGCAGTTCCAGTAAATTTAAGTGCAGATTCTCCTTGGAGAATTTTTTAAACCATAGAAAACTGAATAGCCTGTGAACTATAACCAACAGGCTTAGGCAATGGGATTTGTTTGTATGTGGGGGGGGGGGGGGGGCAACCATAAGGTAAGTGTATTGAAAGCTGCAGTAGGGAAAGAATAGGGAAAGCTGGCAAAGTGTACAAAGAATCTTTAGGGGCGTGGGTCAGTTAGAAATTGTACTTCTGATTGCTAGCTTTTTGTGCAATCAACCCCATTGCAGCCTTTTTTGTCTTTAATTTTATTTTGTGGTTGATTCGAGGTCAGCAGCCACTTTTAGCTGCTCTCCCATACACAAACATTTTTTTTTCTGTAAGGCTTCCCTAAAAAAAAAATAAGCTTTTGTTTTAGGGGTTGGTATTATGAAGTATACTTTTTGTAGGTGTCCTGTATTTTATTTTATGCCATTAGGGCCTATATTTTAGGTTAAACACTTTTTATACTCCACTGCAAGGCCTCATTTAAAAAAGTGAGGTTTTGTTTCAAGGGTAGCATTTTGGAGATTTGCAATTCTTTTGTGTGTTTATTATGCTTTGTTAGGGCTTTTTTCTAGGCTTGGGGTGCTCAAAGCAGAGAGCAAGAATGGTGTGTACCTAAACCAACTCACATTATAGCACTCAATTTCACTGTACACTCCTATTCCCACAGATAAAAGTTAAACATACACAGGCCTGCTATCTAGAATTATAATTTTCCTGATGATGTCCACTATTACACTGCTGTATCTTCTGCAATATCTTAATTCTTCTAGTAAAACCTCAGCCCGTGCTCTTTGTGCCTAGAAATTGTGGGATTAGCCTTGCTTATTAACCTCCTGGCGGTATTCCCGAGTGTAGCTCGGGGTAAAATTTCAGTACCAAAAGCGGTAACCCCGAGCTACACTTCGGGCTTACCATGCAGCGCTGCATAGGGATTTCCTGCAGAGCTTACCTTGTCCTTAGCTCCTGCGATGTGTCCCCTGCAGCATCCCCGGCCATCTCCTCCGGCCGATGTCGGCATCCGGCTTCCGTGTTCCAGTCCCTGTGACGTCGGGACGTACGGGCGTGCCGGCGGCGGGAAATTTGAAAATGTTAAAAAATGTCATTTTTTTCAAAAAAATTTTTACATAGTAAAACATTGCTGTTTCAACCCATTTCACATACATTTTGTCCCGAGTGCTTTGTCCTGCACCCTGCCTGCATTTTGTCTGTTCTTTCTGCCTGGAAACTGAGAAATGTCCATGGCGTCCAAAAAGCGTCCCTTTATGTCAAAAGCGGGTTTAGATCAGCTAGAGAACAGCGATAGTAAATCAGAACCACTTGCAGAATTCAATGATAATGATTCGTGGGGGAAATTCCTCATCAGACACTGAAAACGATTTTGCGACTTTGCTCAGCGATGTGCGAACTTGGCGCTTTATTTCAAATTTCAGTGTTTTTGGTTTGATTATATTATTGAATTAAATGTATTATTATATTATTATTTTTATGATTATTTATTAAATTATAATTTATGATTTCGTTTTTCAAATTTTATCCTACCCGGGATGTTTACTAGACTCTTGTTCGGACAGATTTCAGTGAGTTATTCCTAAAAATTACAGCCTACAATAAAAAAACTACATATTTCCATGCAAAATAATGGTACTGCTTTCAGCACAGAAATACTGACATAATCAGACCGCCAGGGAGGTTAAAATGGTCCTGTTGGCCAAATTTAAGGCTGTATTCAGAAAAGCATTTGGACATGCTGTGTATCCCAGCAGTAAGAATCTATTGTCTTCTTCAGCTGAAATTGACAGCTGTGGCTGCTGAGCCCATACAGTGCAATGACAGGCTGTTGGTAGATGCAGCTATTCATGACTGTTTGCACAACCAGTGACTACCTGAAGTGATCATAGCTGGATACACACAAAGTGTGTCCAGCCACAGGCACTGCAGGTAAGCTCTGTGTGTGGACAGTCATCAATAGCCACAGATAGCCTGTCATTGCACTGAATGGGCTCAGCTGCCACAGCTATTGGCACAGCAGCTGCATCCCAATAGATATGAATGGGACTGCCTGGATGCAGATGCACAAAACTCCTGTGCATCCACTGCAGGCAAAAACAGCCCTTTGCAATCAGCCCAAAAGATATTACACAGATGGTACATAATTCCACAACATTTGGCAGCACGTTCATCCAACCGCTACTCCTCATTATGCTGGAGGAACTGTAACCAACAAGGATCCTTGTACCATATATGGTGGGAATGTCCACAAATTACTCCATTCTGGTCAGATATCTTCACTTTTATAACATCAATTACAAACTCCTCTCCAATTCCCGATCCAGCCCTGGCACTTTTGGGAATAGGAATAGACTCCTGGCCACTACAGTCCAGAACTTTACTAATGCATATTTTGATAGCGGCACAATTGAGTATTGCCAGGCTTTGGAAACAAACTACAACGCCATCCATTCACACAGTAACTGAAATCCTGAACAAAAACACAGCCTGTGAAAAAACCTTTGCTCAAATACACAACTCATCTGCTAAATTCCGGAAACACTGGGACTTATGGCTCAAAGCTCATCGATGTACCGTTACATAAGAAACTACAAGATGTACCAATCAAACACCACTAGAGATACAGCTACTCCTCTCTATTATTATCACCCTATTATCTAAAAAAAGGAAATATGTAATAATTTCAAATCTCATTCTTCTACTTCTCTCTAATCTCTAATCTCCACTTCTCACAACCTTCCTTTCTTCTCTAAACTAATGACTTACTGAATTTTTCAAACAAACAATGCATACTCATCAAAAAAAGAAATGTATTGATGACAGTAATGACTACAAAGTCACATTGTTTATAAGCTGAATTTTGTAAGATGTTGAATATGCTCATACTCTGTTATCTATATCCTTTACAAATCTGTAATACATTATTGCGACAATACTGTATTAATTGTTGTAAACAATCAAATGACCAATAAAAAAAACAATAGTTAGAAAAAAAACAGCCCTTTGCACATGTGTTCACTTCAGTGCACCCGTGATGAGTATCTTACATATTGACTAAAAAATGGCCAGAATTAAACAAGATTTGCCTTCTTGAACTTTCAGTAGGATTCACCTCTAAGTTAAGGTTTGAAAATTTCAAACAAGAATCACCAAAATCCTTGGTGACCCAAACTTGGCCAGATTTGCCCATCACTATTTGGTGCCCATGGTGACCCATCATAATTATTTATAAAGTTTCCATAAAAAGTAATTGTCAGGGATCACCGCGGCGCTGATCCCGGCGCAGGCGCAGTGCGCCACCTCGTGCAGGGACGCGGGCACTAGATCTGGGCCGGCCGCGGCATCTGAACTCGCGCATGCGCACTAGAGGCCGCGGGCGCACGCCTGGCACCAATGACAGCGCAGGGCACGATATTTAAACAGCCCTGAACTGTCATTGAGTGCCGTCTGGTCTTTCCTGCATACCTGTTACCTGTGAACCTGTACCCTGATTGTTGCTGACCTGGATTTTCCTTGACCACGCTGTATTCTCCTGCTCTGACCCTTGGCTTACCTGACCTCTCTCCTGATGCCCCCTATTGGATCTGATCTGCTGTTGCTGACCTGGCGTGTGACCAGACTATTCTCTGCCCGTTGCTTTGTACCGCACCGTCCCCGCGGCTACCGACCCGGCTTGTCTGACCTCGCGCCTGCTCAGCCATCCATCCATCCCATCAGGGTCACCCGACCTCCTCATATCAGGCTTTCCCCTGTGGGAGCCCCTGGCGAACACCCCTACCACTGGTGGGTGTACCCAGTAGTCACGACCTGGTCTCAGAGCGCTCCAAGTCCATCCCCACCATCAGGGGCCCTGGTGAACAAGTGCTCTGGGGCTTAGATTCCGTACTCAGGGGCACCTGACCTGTGGAGTGCTAGTGGTGCCGCCAGGCGGTCCATTACAGTAATGTAGAGCCTGTTTCACTTGTGCTGACAATAACTCCATTTTTGTGGTAATTTTTTTTCCTCCTGTTTGTGTCCATCCGCCCCGATGAATCAGGTTTTATGTTTTTGCTGT